TTTACAAGAATGACACCCAGATCTGATGATGTCCATCATATGATGGACGAAAGCTCAGCACGTTTTCACCTGAAACGAGGGAGGAATTCTCGTTGACATGAATATCGTATAAAAGCCAAACGGCTGCAGTACAAGGAGATTCATCCGTCCTCATCTGTTAAGATCGACCAACGAATCTCTTCTTGCACTTTAATTCGAAATGAAGGTCCCCTTAAAAATGAATAAAAAGGCCCGCCAGTACCACTCGTGGCTAGCTTCGGTAGAAGACTTAACTAGTCTAGCCCATCATTTCTGTCAATCAGGCTGCTCACTGACCCTCCAACGATGTGGCTTTGGGCTCTCTTTTAGGGTTGGTCCAGAATGAGCATCTGCATCTTCGTATTTAGACGAAGTGCAATGAATGGCAGGCTTTGTTGTTGGCCATTCTCGCGCGCAAACCTGCTTGTGCCTTTGCTCGGACAAACCATTGCTTTACCATACTTCTTTGTTCAGTCTGATCGATGTTTTGGCCGCCTTGATCCGTGCCGACGTACCTTCTGACCCCACTGGGGGACGATGGTTATCTTGCACACTTCTGGGTCTTTCTCGTCTCTTTGGGGCGAGCGAAGTTCACATGGCACGAGGCTCAGGCTTGGGTGAAAATGTTGCGGCATGACTTCCCATTTCGAGGGGAAAGTTGGTTGGAAGGGATTCATGATGTGGTCTCACCGGAAATCGAAGGAGGATTGCCGCGCAGCGAAGGCTGTTGCATAGTGCGAACAAGTTCTCGGCTCACTATCCTGCGATTCCGATGAAATTTTGCTAAGCTTTTGTCTGTACCGCCATGACAGACATTATCAGAGGGTGATTCCATACTTTACGAAGTAGGGCAAAAATGTATCAAATCAAGAAAAAAGGGCTTAGCACAGTTTCATCGAGGTTGCAAGACGGTGAGCCGAAAACTTCTTCGCACAATTCAACAGTCTTCCCTACGCGGCGATCCTCCTTCGGTTTTCGGTGAGAATACATCACGAATCCCTTAGCCAACTTTTCTTTCGAAATTGAGAGCCATGCCACAATATTTCATCAAGGAACTCATCGAAGTCCAGTTTTTTTCATATATTTGTGTGAAAATGGACTGGGCTGCCGCCACTGATGCCACTTGACAGGATGTCATTTTTACTGACACCTGCATTTTGGGACACTTGTCCGCTCAGTGATGGTTCTAACTTCATTCCCACCCGTCAAACATGTTAGATTAGGCTCATTGACCAAACCATACATACCAGATTACGCAACCCCAGTTATGTCTTTCCATGGGTGGTTAAAGCTTAGTGACTCTAGACTGAGAGGTTAGGACTGGTGTTTTCGAAACCTGACTTACGCGCCTACAAGCTTACATCTCATCTTAATCATAGTCGTTTACGAACTTACGTAGTCTCGATCAGGGTTTTTTCTTGGGACATTGGGCTTTCTGATCACCGTTACTGCGTATAGATGTTCGCACACTCGAGTAAAATTAGCATGACCAGCATGAAAGTTAATTAGCCAAACCGTTCTATACCTACATACACCTGTGTGGTTCCGTTTTTTAAGTATGACTTTATATAAGAGATAGAATAGAGCCGGATAGTCTTCTTCACCTGATGTTAACTTGAGGCTTTTACTATAATGAGTTCCGGCTCTGATGGGGATGTCTTGTGGACCGCGTCAACCCGAACGTCGTATTAAAACCAAATGGCTGCAGTACAATGGGCTTGAGTTGTAGTCTTGTGGTGTGATCAACCTTCGAATCTCTTCTTGGTGCACTCATGCGAAATGA